ACAGACTTTCGATCGATTGTCTGAGTTTTATTGGTTAATCCGGTTAAATACCGAGATTGAAACTAACAGTTTCGAAGTGTTTAAATCACGAGAAGCTCACTGAAAGCTATGACCTAGGTTTTTGTAAGGCTGGATTGTTTTGAAGGAATTAATTTCAGAAGATGACAGTCTAAGGTTTTATTTTTGCTAAAGACTTTAAAAGTAGAGTATGTACTCAGAAATCCCCGTCTTGTTGCTACAATTACATCGGCAGAATCTACCGGTGATCAGAGTTCTAAAGATCAAACTGTCGAAGAAATTGAAACATGGGACAAAAACGATTATATAGAGAGAGCATATCCTGAATGCCTTAAGTGATCCTCTGTTTAATCTTTACTCAGAAATGTCAATTGCAAAGGCACTATGCGAAGCTTTAGAAGCCAAATATAAAGAAGAAGATGCTGATAGAAAGAAGTGTATCATTAGTCGATACTTAAATTTCAAAATTACAGAAGAAAAATTGATATTGGCTCAAATTCATGCTTTTCAAATTATAGCCAATGAACTAGCATCTAATGGTATTAAATTTGATGAGTTATTCCATGTCGGGGCAATAATTGATAAATTGCCGCCCTCTTGGAAAGACTACCCAAACTCTCTGATGCACAAGTCAGAAGATTTTAGTCTTGAACAGTTGATGATCCATCTGAGGATCGAAGAAGAGACTAGACTCCAAGATAAGAAAGACTACAAGTCTCAGATGGTTGTCAGAGCCCATATAGTTGAAGGTCCGAGAAAGAAGAAGCCAAGGTCTGAAAGACGAAGAAAAATGGAAGAAAAGAAAGAAGAAAAGAAGGATCCGAAAGTTTCAAATACAAAGACAGCTTAGGATAAGGGTAAGAAACCCATGGTATGCCATTTTTGCGGCAAAGCCGACCATATGAAGAAATATTATAGAATTTGAATGAGACAACAGGCTCATGCCAATGTGGTCGAAGAAAGATTTGTCTCTATGATCTCTGAAGCTAATGCAGTAGGGGGCACTACAGAATGGTGGGACTCTGGAGCTACCAGACATGTTTATCATAACATAAATATGTCTAGGACCTATGAAATGGTAGGGGAGGATAGTATCCTCTATATGGGCAATTCTTCCTCATCTAAAGTACTTGGTAAAGGGACAATGGAAGTAAAATTTACGCCCAGTAAAGTCCTCACCCTTCTGGATGTTTCATGCCCCTGAAGTCCAGATAAACTTGGTGTCTGCATATCTTTTGAACAAGAGAGGTTTCAAACATGTCTTTGAGTCCGACAAGTTTATCTTGTCGAAGAACGATGTCTTTGTGGGAAGGGGATATGCTACTGAGGGAATGTTCAAACTTAATATGTTTGACTCCTTCTCTCTATGGCATAGTAGATTAGGTCATGTTAATTATAATGCATTGAGAAAAATGAGTTTTTTAGACCTAATTCCTAAGTGTGCGAATTTAAAAAATATTGTGTGATGTATGTGTAACATCAAAGATCACAAGGAAACCCTTTCCTAAAGGGGCAAGAAGATCCAGGTTACTGGAATTGATACACAATGATGTATGTGATCTGAGAAAAGTACAAACTCGTGGTGGGAAGAAATACTCACTTTCATAGATGATTTCTCAAGATACACCTATGTTTTATCTAATTAGAACAAAAGATGAAGTATTTGAGAAATTCAGGGTTTACAAAATAGAAGTTGAAAACCAAATGTGGTCCCTAGTACCATCCAAAACCAAATAGACCAGCAAAAAATTAAATATGTGTTTGTTTTGAAACAAAACATAAATAGATTTAACATAATCTGCAGAGAGAGCACACAAAAATACTTCAAGTATACATTCATGCATTCACAGTGGACAGTATAAAAAGGTATACTGCATGGGAAAAAACTACATAAAAGAGGAATATCCAACTTGGGGGGAGGGGGGGTGGTGTGGGGTGGGGTGTGCAATCCTTTCCAATCTCTCTTGAGGTTCAAAAATTAACTAAAAAAAATTTTATCAAGTTCTGTAGAAAAATGCTTCATGCCCACACTCATGAGAGAGAGAGAGAGAGAAAGAGTTAGTTTTCCAGATCTCAAATTTCTTTATTACCATCCAGAGAGTGTGATTGGGGGGAGGTAATTTTAAGCAGTAATAGGTACTTTATTAGGGCCCCTTTGAACATTCCTGTAAAGCTATAGTGATGATGGCTGGCGATATATACAAATGGGGGAATAAGAGGTCCTTTACAAGTAAATGTGGACAGAGATTTCCCCATTTTCCAAGTAAGGGCAGAGAAATAAGACCTACTCATGAAAACCTAGAGCAAACTGAACAATTCCTAAAATTAATACAAGCAGGGCAGATAAATGGAACTATTTCTATATAAGTGGTCCATCCAAACTAGCCCTTGCAATAGAAAAGCAACTTACATGATTTTTTATTTCTTTAGATCTTCTAAAACACCCAATGTTTCCCAAACCTCTAAAATCAAAATATATGACACAGGTCTCCCCAAATTAAACCATAAAGAGTAATATGGCTAATCCAATCTACCCCTCGTAGCGGCATCTAGTTGCAGAACAAATGCTAGAATCTTAAAAGTATATTGGAAGCACCTGTCTCTATGAACTTGGACCCAATGGTAAGGCATCCAGTTTGTGTTAAGGAGGTCAAGATTTTGAACCTGTTAAGTTTGTCCTGATAAGCCAAGCTGGCCTACCCATTTTACAAGATAGGTTGGGGTGTCGACAATTAAGCACCACGTCATGGGTTCATGTCCCACCTTTGATATCCCCTACATCCCCCACTCCCCTTGAGATGCTAGATTGACTCCCAATTGAGGACACCATATATTTTCGCAGATAACATCTCATATCACCCTACAGATAATAGAGAAGCTCATGCGACAATATACATTTAGGGAAAGTCCCAGAGTGGCACTCTTCTTTCTCTATAAATAATTTCTTATGTTTTCATATGTGTGTGATTCGTACATAAATGCAACTAAGGGGCCGTTTGGATACCTTGAAATATATTGTCTGTAAAATATATTACTGGCCTAATACATTACTGCGTAATGCATTGCCTACATATGGATTGTTACTTTTTGGGTAGTATTTAGATGCAACCTAGGAAATACATTGCCACTATTTGGCTATGTCAGGAAGAAATATGGGAAATGCATTACCAACATTTTACCGGCACTTGCCTATAAACTATCATTTCTTTCTTTTTTTGTCACAAAATTCCACTGAAATGCGGAATTAAAGTCATCATCACATCATTCTAAAAATATTTTCTAATAATAACATCATCACCATTCAAAAAAGATTTTCTAATAACAACTTGTACCATTCTGAAGTCATCATCACAAAATGTCCTACTTATTTTGCATGCCTTTGACACTTATATGGAATCACATGTCTTCTAACATGATTAGACTTTGGTTTCAACATGATAAGTCATTGGAATAATATGATTGGAATAACATGTTTTTATTGTAATAAGCCTTATTTTTATTAATTTTTTATAGAAGTATTTCAAATGTCTATCTATATAATTAAAATAAGCAATAAATTTATGATACCAAGTTAAAAATCTTTATGGTACAAGTTAAAAAATGGAAAGACGTTTGATTAGTAAACTAGAAGGTTTGGTAATTGCAGTAGAAAATTTTGAGGTATTGGAGGAGACTAAAAAGGTATCTTATTTCAATTGAGCTTTTACTAATCTCTTATGAGGATTATGTCGTGTGAAATTTTTTATTACAATTGTGACTAGAGAGGTATCTTATTTCAATTGAGCTTTTACTAATCTCTTATGAGGTTTATGTTGTGTGAAATTTTTTATTATAATTATGTTGTGTAATTTCTCATTGATTAGATTTGCTACGGAGAATGGATATGCTAAGGGGAGAGGGAGAATGGAAAAAGCACATATCAGAGAAAGGGGACTTAAAAAAATAGGAAAAAGTCCATATGAGAGGAAGGGGCTTAAAAAAAGGAAAAAGTCCAGAGGAGATGAAAGGGCCTTAAAGAGAGAGGGAGCACCTTATGCAAACCAATTATTAGAGCTCAAGAGAGAGAAAATGCGGGGTTAGAGGGGAGGGATCACCTAGCGAGTGAGAGGTATGGGCTCAAGAGAGAGAGGGGGCGGGCTTAGAGGAGGGGAGGGATCACCTAGCGAGTGATAGGTATGGGTTCAAGAGAGAGAGGGGGCGGGCTTAGAGAAGGGGAGGGATCACCAAGCGAGTGATAGTTATGGGCTAAAGAGAGAGAGAGGGCGGGCTTAGAGGGGAGGGATCACCTAGCGAGTGATAGGGCAGAGAGATACGCATGCGAAAATATTTCCCAAAGATTACCCGTCAAGCGCGTAATAGATTTTTCACCTTTCACCGAGCGTAATGTGTTTCGTGATTTTTGGAGAAATCTCGGGGTAATCTCTTTCTATTTCCTTACTATAAAGTGTACCCAAACGGTGGAAATGTCATATTTCCTTGTAATCTATTGTCATGTAATAAATTTTCAGGTACCCAAACGACCCCTAAATGATAAAAAGGCCAGATTTTTACAATGTTTTGTATTACAGCAGACAATGGATCTAAGCATATTAGCGACATATTACACAATGTTTCTCTATTCTCTTTTCTTTTCTTTTTTCGTTTTTTTTTTTAAGAATTCGTTCAATAATATGATTGTTACCCAGTGTATCCCATGGTGTCTTGATGCGGATGAAGAAAATTACAAGCTACAATGGTCTGATCATTTTCTTTCCAGAATAATGATAAGAATTATAATTAACTTCAAAGTAATGACGCTCAAAACAATTTAAGCAGGAGTTAAAGTCCTTGGCAAGGGAATACAAACAAATCAGTGTCCAAAGAGCGGAAAAATAAAAAATTGTATGCTAAGAGAAACTACAGAGCAGGTAAGCATATTGTTATTTCCAAGTACTAAAATAGATGAAATCTAATGTTCAAGGTTTATTCAACTAGTTTCATACCCCTGAGCAGCTGCCCACCGTGACAGTTGGTAGAGTTGAACGCTTTCATTGGAGACATGGCAGGCTAGAAGCAAATAGTTACGAGGTTGTACCATCCAAGCAAACCTCATGAAAAGCCCCGAATAAACACACATTGCTGCAGTAACAAATAAAGAATTCTAATTTCAAAGATTTAACTCTTGGCTTTATAATCAACAAGGAGACATTAAGATCCAAGTTATGTAGATCTCCTAACCTGAAGTCATGTTTCCAGATATCAATTCTGGGGGCTTTTTTGTGTCTACCAATCCCTGAAAAAGCAGACATTCCACATATCTATCACTTTACTCCCAAGAAATTAGAATATGAATTATTGTAGCACATGATAGTTAGAACTGCATGGCATAATGGAATAAAATCTTACCTACATGTACAACTTCAAAAAATCAAATCTTACCTCCATGCTATTTTATGCATATGACGGTCACTTTGCCAATACATATTTCAAAATGTAGGTTAAATCTGTACTTTAGATTTTATGGTTTATAGATCCATGCTCAAGGTTGATGCCACAAGTTTAGATCTATGGTCCTACTTGTTATGTTCTATCCCACCATCCACTTCCACATGACAGTAGCCTGACAAGATTTTCCTTTCTTTTCATGGATAGGTTTGTGATGGATTCAGTGGCCTTCTTTTTTGTTGATTATTCTCGAAAAAAAATAAAAAACAATATCAGCACCTATGACAACTGAATACCCCAAAATGAGTGACGAATCCATGTCAAATACTTCACAAGCACAAGATATGCAAAACATTGTAGCAATGTCTAAAGCCATAACTTTGGATCATATACAAGCAGGACCTTCCAGGATACTCTTAAATCTCCTTTCATGGGATTATGGCGACAAAATACGTGCAGGATTGTGCAATTATGCAGATCACCTCAGATGCCATAGCTCAATCTCTAACCATTTTGATTAAAAGGGGCAAACAGGCTTGATGTCCAAATTTCCTTAAAGAGCTTTAAGGAGTAGGGACTATAGTTACCCGAATCGCCTATGAGGGTAGCGATTCCATTTCGGAATCTCAATTCAACGTTTTCCCAGGCGAAAGTCGATTCTAAAAGAAAGGAATCACGTTTCCATTTTTGGGGAATGCGATTCCACCTAGTTTAGGAATCTCGATTCCTGGATTGCTGGAATCAAGATTCCATATCGAGGACTTTATGATTCTTAGCTACACAAGAATGTGATTCTCCTTGTGAGAAACGTTGATACCAAATTTTTTGGAATTGCGAATCCATGTTGGTTGGAATCAAGTTTCTATATCGCAGACATCGTGATTCTTTGCTACACAACAATGTGATTCTACTTATAATAAACGTTGATTCAAAGAATAGGAACTTTAATTCTTCAACTAAATAATATAACATGAAAGTAATGTGAGAATAGGAACTTCAAGTCTTCAGCTAAATAATATAACACGAAAGTAATGTGAGAATAGGGACTTCAAGTTTTCAACTAAATAATATATAACATGAAAGTAATGTGAGCATAAGGAGAGCAGAAACCCTCAGATGTGTGCTCAATCATGAGTGAGAGCGACATGTATGAGAACATGAGAGAATTTGAAGTTGTTGCACATGGCAATAAAATCAAAATTTAAAATTTGGGTAATATGTTAAAGTTTTTTTTTCTTAATTTACTAATATTTCCATCCTTCATTCCATGTTACTTTTTAAGAACTCTTATCAAGAATAAATAATACTAAAAAAATATGTTACTTCAAATTTAATAATGTTTGGTAAATGGTGTTGGTACTAAACTACTAATGTAATAATGTTTAATATATGATCGGCATTGTCATTTCTTCAAGTTGAATAAGAGGATAAAAATGCTTTTCTTTAAGTAAAATAAGAACATAATAAAGATATGAGCGAAGTGTCCGGTGTGGTGTTTTAAGTTAAATTAATCATTAAATATCAAAAGAAATTGATTAAAAATTGAATAACTCAATTTTTCAAAGTCAAAAGACTCAAAACTACATTTAACAAAGAATAATTACTATGTCATGTACGTATTTTATAATTCAAGGAAATGAGATAAAGGGAGTTCGCCCTTGTTCTCACTCTTTGTATGCCGTAGACTAGCTCCAGACCTTGTAGGCATAATAGGATTATCGGTAGACCGAGTTCATTGTATGGGATTGTCGACAAAGATATCATAAAGGTTGACATTAGTACTTGGAGTCCTAGGCTGAGTATATACAGACCAAAATTTGATCTTGTAGTAATGGGTGAATTTATATATTTTATGAATACTTCTCTCATATACCGGAGGGAATTGGTTCGCAATCTAGTAAGGGGAGAATATCGATTTCAATATGGGGAGAATCACAATTCCAGAATGGTGAGAATGTTGATTCCAAGTTGAAGGAGACAACGATTCTAGAATTTTTAGAATCACAATTCCTTATTTTTAGGAATCACAATTCCAAATTTTTAGGAATCATGATTCCAATCTAATCGAATCATGATTCCAACAACCACCGAAACAAGTGGGGTCATGTGTGATTTCATATAGGTATGAAACGTGATTCCAACATGAAGGGACATCGATTCTTGCAAATAGGAAACATGATTCCTAATTTTTTGAATCACGATTCCGAAATAGTGAGAATCATTTTTCTCAAATCCGAATTTTACAGACACCGATTCCTAGATTCCGAAACTTCTGATAAACGCGATCCTGCGATTCCGATTCCAAAAACGATTTGGAATCACAGACGTTTCCAACAACTATGGTTGGGACTCTTTTAGTGTGGAATCTGAAAGTCTTATATTATCTTTATCACAAGGATAGGCACCATACCAATAGGAGCATTTGAATCTGCCAAGCCTTAAACTAGGACTTAATGATTGGTTCCCTCTCAGTTAGGACACCCCAATGCTGCAAATTTAGTTTGAAGTGTCCCAGCTCTAACAAGGGGTGGTCTTTGATCAATTAGCATGAGTTTACAGTGGATTTCACATGTAGCTAAAAAGATCCCAGCTCAACAAATGCGCATCATCATGCATAGGACGGTGAAGAGAAGTCGATCACACATTCAGATTATGATTTTGATAGATGCCATGCAGACTCTGTTCTTAGCTCATTTTAGTAGAGAATGTGTTTTTTTTTATAATTGTTAACGTTGGTATTGAGAATTTTTTTTTGCAGAGAATGTTATGCCCTAATTGAAAATCTTTACATTACTAGCTGGCCCTGAGGCATGTTCCCTTGTGCTAGAAGTGTAATGGAATCGTGTTCCTCCTCCCCATCAAGGTCTATGAAGCTGAACTCAAATAGTAGCTCACCAATGGCCACTGATTCTATTGTCGACAGCCATTCATGGTCAATGACTCCTTCGATATAACCCTCCAGGGTTGTGCCCTTGACATCTCTGTCTTAGCTCTCCAGGAAAAGCAACAAACTCTCCTTCGCCCTCATCTTTTTTATCGTGCTGATAGGTTAAGTTCCTTTGTAAGAGGGGCAAACCCAAGGTTGATGATAGATACTCGCAAACACTAGCAAAAAATTTGTAATACTCCATACATAATATTGTATATATGTATGTATGTACAAATGACAGATGCTTACAAAGACCAGCAAAAAAATTCATAATATTCCATTCATGATACGTAGAAGATAAGGCGTGTGGGTATAAAACAAGACGCACTACCATTTTGCAGTTAAAAAAAAAAATGTACAAAACATATGATAGATCATAGATGCTTTTGATTCAACACCAAAAATTGGAACCTCTTTGGTTTTCGGCCACCATGCTAATGGGGCTACGGCATAATGGTCTATCATAGCCTTCCATTTCCCGAAATCACCCAATCCAGTTGCAAATCCAGAAGAATCCGTACCATAATTGTTGGAAATGCCTAGGAACCCGAATCGTTTTAGGAACCGGAATTGCAGAATCACGATCAGATCGAAGAATCTCATCTTAGGAATCGTTGTCCGTACAATAGGAATCGCTATGAACGAGATTCCTAGTTTTTGAGAATCGTATTTCAACCGAAATAGATCCAAGTTTCATTCACATATGGAATCGAGATTCCGTCCTCCTTGGAATCGAGATTCCCATCCCCCAGAAATCAACACTGCACGAGTCAAGATTCTTTAATATGCGGAATCGAATTTTCGACATCTATGGAATCGAGTTTCCGACATGTGGAACAGAGATATGTTGATATTTCGAATCGTGATTCTAACATATTTGAAATCAAGTTTCTGAAGTTTATGCATCAGAGATCCATGCCAGTTTGAGATCGAGATTTACAATAATATGGACTATGGAATGCATTTGACGACCCCTACCAAGAATCGTGATTTCATTTTTATGGAGAAGGAAGCTATAAGCACATCTTGAGCCTCATCAACTTTAGAACCTATATTGGATGTTTCTTATTAAAAGGTTTTCCAAAGTTTAAAGTGATTGTGTTGACTATTAAACTTATGGTCATTATATACAAAAGACAATAATTTCTAAATTGTGATTTTGACTTCATTATCATAAAGACAAAATAGGATTATGTCTACACCATGGTTTTACTTTTAATTGTATGTGTTGTATTTACCAGTTATATTTTAAATTTAAAGTAAAGGCGATCCAGGGTAGCACAAGTAAAATACTGAAACCCTGCAACCACTAAAAGCATTCGAAGGAAGATTTCTACTTCAATTGACGTGGAATCAAGATTTAATCCTCGCTGGAATCCAAATTCGAGATATTTGGGAACATCTACCCACAATTAATGGGTTCAAGTTTCTAAAGATGTGTTGGATCGAGATTCCGAAATTAAGGAATCGAGTTTCCTTGGTTCCGATAAATAGTTTCTAAAGATGTGCTGAATCAAGATTATGAAATTAAGGAATCGAGTTTCCTTGGTTCCAAAAAATGGTATCTAAAGATGTATTGAATCGAGATTTCAAAATAGAGGAACTGAGTTTCCTTGGTTCCGAACAACGGTTTCCATGGAGACTCCTTAACGGAAACACAGAATCGGGTTTCAGAACCGAAAACGCGAGGTCGGTGGAGAGATTCCGGTAACTATGATCCGTACCAGTATGCATGTCCAAAGGTCTCCGACACGGGTATGGGACCCTTTTCAAAGAATTCATGTAACACAGAATTAACAAGTGGTGGTAGATTTCTTCATCATTTTTTTCTTTAGAAAAACTCAATTATTTCACTACTTCTATCATTTCATCTTTTGTGTTTAATTTGTCACACTTCCATTTCCTTCCCCCCAACCTCCAAAAATTTCACCTTTAAATTCTCAACTTTCTTGTTGCGCATACCAACAATGAATGTCTATATATGTGTATATGCATGCATGATACAAAGTCATATACATTTTCTACATACATATTCAAAATTTCAAATGCAGTTGTAATACATCAACATCATCATCATCATCTAAGCCTTATTCCAACTATTTGGGGTCAGCTATACGAATCATGTTCTTCCATTCTGCTCTCTATCAAGGGATGCGCTCAGAATTCATGAAAAAATTTGGTAAAATTTTACACTGACTGTCTACCTAACACAACCCTTGGGACCGGTATGACCAGCTTGGGGCTGGCCAAGGCTAAATACAATTCTAATTATAGTTGTTGGAAACACTTGTGATTCCGATTCATTTCAAGAATCGGAAACGAATCGGAATCGCATGTGCCAGATGATTCTTAATCTCTGAATCGTCGCCCGTACAATGAAAACCATCATAGCGATCCGATAAAATAGGAACCGTGATTCTTATTTGTAGGAATCAGTATCCCATCATGTTGGAATTGAGTCTCCTACCTTTCAAGAATCGCATATGACCCCACACAGTTCAATGACTTCCGAAATCACGATCCGACGAAATAGGAATTGTGATTCCTACATTATTGGAACCATTGTCTATTTCAATTGGGAATCGAGATTCCCACAATACACTAATTGTGCACCCAACCCCTCCGTATAATAGAGAAGTATTTTACGAGAAAATAGACAATGTTTTACATAGATGATTGGGGATAGATGATACCATAGTTTGACCCAAATTATCTATATAAAACCAAGCAGATACCATAGACGACATTATAGATTGGTATTAGCTTGAAAGACTAAGATGTTGCATTTTCCTCAAAATTCAAAGCCCATAAGTGCCCATGAATCCCATAAGTGCCCATGAATTTTGATCACCATTGACCTATTTCCTTTTTTTTCCTTTCTTTTAGGGGTTTAAGTCCATGCCCCACCAAATATACAATAAGACAATGAGTGATAAGCATTCCGTAGATGATCATTAATAAGAATTTTATGAAAAACCTACCAAATATCCCCACATAATCCTTCACTTGATAAAATAAATAATCATTCATAAGCATTTGGTTATTACAACCATCCTATAGGAATATCCTATCTTGAGGTGGGGCAGCCACCCAAACGTATTACCTTGAGGTGGGATTGCCACCCACTTCATAGTCTATAAATTGCTAAATCAGTTGGGTAACTTGGCATATATTATTATATATGGATTCATCTCGAAAGTTTATTAAGGCTTTATGGATCTCACAACATCACAGTCTTGAAACCCAAATCATGGGTATTTGACCTAGTACAAAATTGTAACATGGTAGGAAATGATTCCTGGAACTCCTCTGGTAACGTAGAATCAATTCCCGAAGCTCCTCCCGTAACATACAATTTGTGAACGTGTTTCATTCAACATTTGCATTTGAATCTATATTTCGTGCCATTACAGCATGATTCGATGTTGATCAAAAAATTGTTCCGTGCATCTAAGAACTGTACCTTTTGAGGATGAGGAACTCGCTTCCAAACCAACATGGATTCGCGATTCGTAAAATATTGGAATCAACGTCTCTCACACATTGAATCGCATTGTTGTGCAACCATGAATCGCAAATTCTGGGATATGAAATCTAGATTCCAACCTTCCAAGAATCGGGATTTAGATAATAATTTGAAACACATTATGAAACTCTTGAAACGTGATTCCTATCTTCCAGATTCGTGTTTCATCTTGAGAACTGCTGAATCGCGATTCCGAACCAGAATCACAACCTTGGTATGTGATTCGGGTAACTATAGTTCTAATACATACATAAGAAGGTAAATACATCTATAGTACATAAGTACATATATGCATGCATTTCAAAGTATTCAAATACTTTTTTTCATATCACAAGTGCACAAGTAGAAAATGTAAAATCCTAAATGTGAACATAAATGAAGTGTTGACCAAAGCAAAGATTACAAAGGAAAACCAGAAAAAGTCCAACATAAAATATGCCTTTTTGAAAATATAATTAACCATACTTGAAAATAAAAAACAAAACACAACAATGAAAGCCAAACTAATATCACAAACTAAGAGCATTTAGATAAAAGGACTATAGTAGAGCAAAGTTTGAGAGCTATAGGTGCACAACTGCACATGAGGCCAAAGTAAAGAAAATCAACCAAGTCCAGTATTGAGGAAGCTCTTAGGCCCAGTTTGGATAGAACAGATGAATATCTGTCGGATAATTTCATCCTATGGCCCATGCATGAGTAAAGAAGCGCAAAGTTTGATCCTCTTCTCTATTATTCATGTGTAATAGTTGTTTCTCTATCCCATGGTCCTTAACTATTAAGAAAAAGCAAATGTTCCTCAACTATTTCAATAAGATAAAATAAAATAAACATGCCCGTGTTTTTAAACAACCAATTCATTAATAGTAACATATGACTAGCCAAAATTGGGCAAATATAAAAAATATAGTACACATAAAAGCATCTTTTTAGTGTAGTTCTCTACATGCTAACATCTACTAGCAGTATAAAACAATAATTTATGCTTGAATACTCTCACAGCTCCATACACCTAGGATCATACTTTTTTACTACCATCAATTATTTTATTTGTTATTTTTATGAGAAATAGAATAAATAAAGTTCTGTAACAAAATATGATATTATATCCATTTTATTTTTTGAAGACATTCTAAAATATCATATAGTGAGACATATTCGATATTATTATATTTCTATAATTTTATAATCCAGGTATCCCTAATAAGGATGATTATAAAGTTTAAACCGACTAAGCTTCGTGAAGCCAAGTCATGTTGAGCCGCCTTGGCCATGTTTCTACAATCATAAAACTCAGAAGAGTTTCTTCACAAGCAGCATACAGTGGCAAGAATTGTATGTGTCCTGTGATAAAGCACAAGATTCACCAGATTTCTGGGTTGAGTCAACTTGGGAGAGTCCAAGGTTGACTCAATGAGTTTAAAAAAAAAATGCTTAAGACTATCCGCTATGCGGTATCAATAGTGGTTCCATACCAAGCCATACCAGTGCACAAGTATAACGATACACGAGTATCCAGGTATCTTGGAAAATGATACATCCACTAGGGATCAAAGATTTTGGAATTGTGAGCGACACAACAAAAGATAATGATTTCCCAGTGCTTTTGGTGCTACCACACTCAGCTTGATTGGTAGACTTTCCATGGTTTATATCCAATGGTTAGGCTCTTGCAAGTAAATATATGTGCTGTTGCAGATTCATTGGCCTGAGTTACTTAGGAGAGGAGCCAACAAAGGAGATTATTTCACAACATAGCATTGGGTTTATGCAAATTGTCCCAGCTACAATGGACAATCATCTTGATTAAAGCAGATTTTCAATTTGTCAGGACATGATTCTCCCCCTTTTTTCTGTGTGAATGTAGTTACAAAATTGATGTACAGATCTTTTATCCCAGACTATCAGAAAGATAAATAGGGAAGAAGATTAGTGCAGAACAAATAAAAGTCAATCCCACACCAACAAAAGACATCCACATGCTAAGAAGGGTGTACATTTCATACTTAAAAAAATCTTCCACAATAATAACATCATGCATTAAGAAAATAATCATTATGAACATGGATATAACCATGAAAAATATTTATAAAGACCACATATGAAACTACGGAAATATGCAACATATGGGAGCATAGATAGCCAAAGGAACGACACATACAGCAATTACAAAGCCCCAGTTGGCAACAGGACCCCAAAAATGAGTGGTCTTTGGTCCCATTGGACTATTCAAGAAGGCCTTTAGGGCAGCAGCCATTGGGAAATAATGAGATGCCACTCCTGTGCAGCCTGAAACGTTTCAACTATAAACATCTAAGCTCACTTGATTAAATCAGAATCCCATTCTAAACCAAACTAGAGTGGATGAAAGAGTGTCGATACATCCATTCAATAGATATAAATTTTCATCATAGATCATTAACCCATCAAATGGAACATATATATGAAATGAATATCAAAAAAAATGATACAAGATAAAAACAGCATATAAAAGCAACTGACAAATTCAGACTTTACAAAAGTATTACTCAAAAGAGTGCAGAAGCAAGTACATACTGATTTTTTTTTTCTTTTTTCCCCGCTAAGATATGCTGCCTCGGGGAGAAATGTCAGAGAGACTGAGATTGATCTCACACCCACCCGTGCACAAGAGAAGGTAACGTGTACGGATTCAGGAAACCCATTATTGATTCATAAGTTAATGTTTTATATATAGGAAGATTGGTGCACGCTATCTACTCATCCCCGTTATGATCTGGAGATGATTTCCATTGGCAGGACGCATAGAAATTTGATTTTTCAGTAACCTTGTTGTTCTTTATCATAAAGAAAAAGGCCCCCTTGAATCAGCTCTCAAACTCAAGGATTAATGGCGATTTCGAATAGAAAATTAGAAATTACAGGATGCAATTTAATCTAGAAATTAGACACATTTTCACTAGCTTTTTGGCATTAAGAATAAGAAAAGTGATGGAAATACTGCAGAGATTCCTGGATTCTGAAATAAAAAATATATGCAAGTAGAAAGATGGAGAGAACTTAGATCCTTGGATTAAAGAACGAATTGAAAATACAAACGAAACCAATGCGTTGAGTTGATGCATCACATAAATAATTGAAATATAAGAAAATAAATAGCATACCTAATGTCACGGGTGAACTGAGGAGCAGTCGAGAGAGAGAGGGGTGGCTGCCTCGTGCGCTTAATTTTGAGGGAGTTGGATTCAATAAGTGGGCGTGAATAAGCTCTTCTTAAGAATTCTGAAGGACTTTAGTTTTGCAATAAGTCCTAAGTGAGAGCCTTACTGTATTTTTAATAATTGCAGTAAAGAGGAAAGCTAGAAGTTTTCTTACTATGTGGGAATATATTATTATTATTATTTTATTTTGGGTAATTCAGGGATGACGAGCTCTTACCTGATTTTTTTAAATAGTTAGTGATTTTTTAATGCGTTAAATGATAATGAAAGCCTAATCTATAGCTGAGACACATATGAAGCTAGTACCATGACCCAACCCCATTATCAAGTTTTTCCTTGCGCAAAACTTACTCTAAGGATATCATTTTTATCTCAACATTTTGGAAATATCTAAAGAAAAAGTATGCTCATATTTTAGGAATATCTAAAGAAAAAGTATGCTCATATTTTAGGAATATCTAAAGAAAAAGTATTTTGTGAGTTAAATGTCCATCTTTAAGATGAATATCCCCAACTAAAGATTCATGTCTAATGGATAAGAAAATATTCTAATCAAAATATTTTAAAATTTTATTTTATTATGTTTTATTTTTTATATTCATGATCATTTGACTGTAGATCATGGATCACTACAAAATTTGATCCAAGATCGAAACATAATAGTGTTTAAAGGGGCCCGCATGAAAATAGTATGAGTTGGGGAAGTCATAAAAACCAGGTCCATATTCAAAATATGCAACCCAAAAAAAAAATTAACTCTCACTTTCTATGTGCCAAGAAACAAATCACATGATTGTATCAAAACCATCCAATTTGTCGAGGGAACGATCTATATGTTTATAGGTTTGTGAACTCATAAACTAAAATTTTTTCATTGAAACCAGTGTTTAAAAAAACACCTCGTCCGGTTCGACTCTGAAATCGCCATGGACAGATCGAATCGACGAAAAAAATAAAAATCGCCCGGTTCTAGAGAGACGATTCTGTACAGTGACTCGCCGATTCACTGTACCGAATCGACGAGTCCGTAAAGTGAATCGGCGAGTCCAGTACCGTTAACTTTTTTTTTTTTTTTTTTTTTTTTTTTTTTAATCCATGATAGATTTATTTGTAATGCTTGATCGATTTTTTTGTAATCCATGATCGAATTGTTTTTTTTTTTTGTAATCCAAGATCAAATTTTTTGTTTTTTTTTTTTTGTAACCCATGATAGAATTTTTTGTAATCCATGAACGAATTTTTTGTAATCCATGATCGAAATGTTCGTTTTTTTTCTTGTAATCCATGATCGAATTTTTCGTTTTTTTTTTTTTGTAACTCATGATAGAATTTTTTGTAATCCATGATCGAATGTTTTGTAATACATGATCGAAATATTTGCTTCTTTTTTGTAATCCATGATCGAAATAATTGTTTTTTTTCTTGTAATCCATGATCGAATTTTTTGTTTTTTGTTTTTTTTGAAACCTATGGTAGAGTTTTTTGTAATCCACGATTGAATTTTTTGTAATCGATCGAATTGTTTTTTTCTTTTTTTGTAATCCACGATTGAATTTTTTGATTTTTTTTGTAATCCATGATCGAATTTTATGTAATCCATGATCGAATTTTTTGTAATCCATGATTGAATTTTTTGAAAATTTGTGATATTTTTTTGTAATCCATGATAGAATTTTTCGAAACTTTGTGATTTTTTTTTTTTAATCCATGATCGAATTTTTTTTGTAATCCTTGATAAAATTTTTTGAAAATTTGTGATTTTTTTTTTTAATCTATAATTGATTTTTTTTAAAATTTGTTATTATTATTTTTTAATCCATATTATTCAAAGAGAAAATGAGAGATGATTCTGAAACCACCCTATCCCAACCATATTATTCACATATCGAGTCCCAACAACAGTGTAGGGATGAGCACGACAGTGCAAATGAGCATGAAAAATAGACAATCTTCGAAGATTTTAAAATGAGAACCCAACAAAACACTAACACTCAAATATTTGAAAATAATCAAACGCCTGTTAATATCGATGATTCGTTTTTAGATCGAATCAATGAATTGTTAAACAAATTTAATAAATGAAACCAACGTGACCAAAAAAAAACAATAACGTCGCCTATCATTTTATTTTTAGATCATATGTTACTAATTTTATGCTTTATTGTAGTCCATGTATATTGATATACTTATTCCATGATAATTCTATATTTATCCTTTTGTGTGATGTAAATTAATTACTGAATGGCGGTTCATATAAGGAAAGAACATATCAATATTCGCATATTCATTCAAAAACATGAAAATTCTTAATGGAATACCTTCATTTTTTATTGAATTCCTAAAAAACAATACTTATAATGAATTTTAATCAATTTTTCAAATTTTTTTTAAACTTTATTATGACCGATTCATCCGAATCGCTGATTCGCCGATCCGGATCGGTTTTTTGAAAACCCAATCCGGATCACCGATCCGTTTTTTAAACCATAGATTGAAACTACTCATCTCATTAAAATTATGTCCCAAAAACTTTCAAATAAAAAATTATCTTCAAGTTAGTATTTGCCCGAAGTAATAAACATATTATTTACACCCGAGGGAGCATACTATGCTTCCACTCTTCCTTATTTTAACATTCTTTTTTGTGATTGTATATAATGAGATCATTTATCTTCCGATATAAAATCTGACAGCTTGAGTGTCACCAAGTTTGAAACAAAAAAAATTAACTTCGAACTTGGTCGATAGAAAAAATATAATCACCCCATTTACCACCTAATGCTTAAGATTGATTGTGACCATCTTATCTTATGCCCAAGGTAAATAGTATCATTGGAATTTTTTTATATCCACAAAATGATCTCTTTCACTCGGCTTTTCCCTCGCTCTCTGTCCAATCTCCACAAACTCTCTAGCTAAGCTCTTCTAACCTCTCTCCTTCTCCGTCCCTCTTTCTCTCTTCATAAACTTCTCTCTTAGCTCTATAAACTTCTCTTTTACTTTACCTTCTCCCTTCCTCTGTGTCTCAAAAAATTTGTGTTTTACCTTAGGCTACTAGTTTTTGGAAATTACACAAGTTCTATATTATAAAAGATAGAGTGCACATCCTTCCTGAAGAGTTTTGATTATCATAAATATTTAATTTTCTCAAAGATAAAATGCTTATAGGTTAGTGGATTAGAAACCCAATTTCTCTTTCTATCTCAAAAAACCCAATCTCTTTTTCTTTCTAAAAACTCATTTTCTCTTTCTAAAAATCGAATCTCTCATTCTTTTTCTCTAAAAACCCATTCTCTCTCTAAAAATTTAATCTCTCTAAAAACTCAATCTATCTTTCTCTCTAAAACTCAATCTCTCTCTAAAAACTTAATATCTCTTTCTATCTTTAAAAATCCATTTACTTTTTAGAAACTTAATCCCTATTTCTCTTTATGAAAACCCTTTATCTAGAAATTCAATCTGTCTCTTTTTAAAAACCCATTCTCTTTAGAAACTAACTCCAAAATAGAGAGATAACATATGGAAGATAGAAAGAGATGTGGATGGACGAGTGACATTCTTTTTTTTTCTTTTTTTGTGGTTTCAACCCCTTGCGGTAAAGTCAAATGAAATATTTTTTTTGGATCTGCTCGAGTAATGCATCCTTGGGAACAAAGATACTCCCCACCTGGGTTGGGATTTCTTTTCATATGATTTGTTCTTTGTAGTAGTAAAACCCTTTCCTATGGAAAAAGTTTGCGTTGGCTTTATGCACGAACCAAACATGCCTAACTATATGTTTCATAAGAAAACTATTCCATGATGTAAATTTTCATACCAACGAAACAAACTCTTAGAGAGCAAAAGAAGCCCAGCGTTCAAAGAGGGATGGGGGAATGAAGTAAAGATAAGCACCTGGAAAAGAGATGGGTGCAGTTTGCCTAGAGCCAAGGCTCTAAACAATCAAAGTAAGCCTACCTTTAAATACTGTCTATAAATATGGTTTCAATATTGGAAATCTTATTGATAGCTTTAAAATATATTTTTATTTTTAATTATAAAATTTAAAGCATTAAAAATAGTGTAGATCAAACAGATCTAAAACAACTTGAAAATTAACTATCCAAAAATGCGTTACAAGATACACCATTTATAAAATTTGAAATCCATTTTTTTCTCATGTCCATGCATCTTAATCTCGGGATGATAAATTTGAAAATATTTGGACATCAAAACAACTTCTTCTAGTGAGATTTTTGAAGTGGGCTCTAATTTTATTGTTTAGAGCTTCAGCTCTATATAAACTTTTTCCATATTTAAAACCCCTAGCATATTCTTTTATTTAGAACTCTTCCTCGGTGAATGTAGTATCGACAACAACATGCCTCAACTACAGTATGCAACTGCATCTTCTGGAAGGTATGCAACGGCATCTTCTGGAAGGAAGCTATTGGGCTCGCCGGGTTCCTCATGCTACTAACCGCTATCACCAGCATCTTGTACCGTTACGAAAAACGGGAGACATAGATCTACCACAGGCATTGATATTCGAAGATGGTGTGATAATTATTGTTGCTAGTTTTTTTGAAATTGCGTCATTTGCAATCCAGTTTTTATTCAAATAAGAGAACCAATAGGTTTTCTCTCCCACAAGTAGGGAACATGGATTTCTAGAGAATAATAAGGTTCATGGATTTCTAGAGAATAATAAGGTTCATGGATTTCTAGAGAATAGTAAGGTTCATGGATTTCTAGAGAAAGGCTTCAGTCAATATATTATTGGGAAATTGTCTTATGCGGGACTGCATGATTACACATGCGGTCCAAAAAGTGTAAAACATCCATCTTAAAGATAGATGCAAGTAGGTAGTTCCATCTAAAATCAATGGAAACTAACTGTCCAAATGTTTTCTTATTAGAATTATTATTTCTAGGTTTTAAAATTTACTTATTTTTTCATATTCATAATCCCCATGTTAGGGATTCATGTCCTTAAAAATTAAGTCCAAAAATCTATCTCAAAAATAGATTTATTAATTGGCGCATATTTCTACATATACGGGCTTGGCTGCATAAAAACCGGGTCCTT